AGTTTTAAAAAGACAAAAAAAATGGCTGTAACTTTGTCAATTCCTCAAATATTGGGTTAAAGTTATCTGTGGTAAAAGCTGAGACTGATCCCCTAACAACTATTTCTGGTCTTGCAAGGTTTGTTTTGAAAACTTTTTCATCTCTGTCTGTTTGTTAGAATAATATCTGAAGAAACACGGGACAGATTCAATGAATTTGGTTGCTACATCAAAACTGACCTTAGAAAGCACAAAAATTGTTATAATTCAGTCAATTTCACAGATACTAAGCTACAATTTTTGTGTGGCAGTAGCCGAGAGTGATTCACGTCACTCACTGTGAAATCTTGCCTACAGTTGGCTGCTAAAATATTGATTAGTATTTGTCAGACCATATTAAACATGACCAAACTATCCCTTTAAGAGTTTTATTGTGTCTACCTCATTAGAAGAACTCATGCAAGGAGTCACTAGTTTTTGATTGGGGTAGGTCCTTGGCAAGCAGGAGGAGCTGAGATCAAGGTGAGCTCCGTTCCTGCACCATTCTCAAAGTCGACCAGTTGGGTACTTTGTCACGTGACCATGTTGTAGACGGAGGCTGACATATTGGTTTGGGGGAAAATAGGAGGAGTTTCACTATGTGGAAAATAGGGAAAAATGGTGAAAAGTTGCTGTAGGACTGCACTTCTCATGAAAAAACCATCCAGAGCGAAAATACTGCAAGAGTGAGGGGAGATAAATAAGACACGTGTTGTCGTTCTGCCTCTGCAGACCTCCGTGCTTCTCCTTGTTTAAAAAGAATTGCCTCAGTGTTTCGATTCAAAACACACTAAAACTGGYTAAAATGAAGAGTAAACACTCAAAACTACACACTAACTATAAAATCCAAACATGTTAAATATCACAGATCTGATTAATAAAGTCCTGCTCTCACCAGCTCTTCATTGCCGCCAATCTCCATTCAAATTTTGCCTCTTTTTATTTTCTTCTTCCTGTAGATTTTTTACTGCTTGTCAGATAACTTTAAGCCTCAGTCAAAAGGAGGTCTGGTGGGTTATATTTTTTTCTGTTTAAGAGAAAGATGAGACTGACGATGGACCGCAGTGTTTTTTCCACGAGATTACTGTGTTTCCTGCTCCCTTCAGCTGCAACGCGCTTCAAAATAGAACGTTCATTTTCAGAAAAAAATTAGTAAGAGATGCCATTTATCATAACTCTGGTTTTCTTAACTCTTGACCCATCAACACAATTTAAAAACTGCTGTATATTTTAAAGTCTCTACTTTTGACACAAGTTGTAACAGAGTCTCACAACGCGTTTTCCCTCATACAAAAATGGAGGTTGAAATCACGTGACTGAATGACATCACGTCGACTTCGAGAATAAACAGAGAGGTGACGACCTGCAGCGGGGCAGGTGTTCAGAATTGAATTGCCCCCTCCCTTTTGTCGTCTCAGCCTCAGTCAGCTCCCGTCATGAGCAGCAGCCGTCCTCTGCGATGGTAATTTAACACAGCAAGTTGGGAATAGTGGAATGCAGCCAGTATCAACATTCTTTGTAAAAACAAAAGAAAAAAAAACATGGCTGTGAGTCTGGGACAGATTTGTATCTTATGGTCGGGTGATTCAGATGTTTTCATTATTTTTGAGCAATTAAGAGTAACCCTAACATTATCAATTAAGGGTAAAGGTCAGTTAAGGTATTTCATTCAGCTCTTCATGCGAGATCTGCTCACATTTTTGATGAAWCACCTGTTGGCACTTTGCAACAAACTTACATAATATTGACAGTGTTTACTGGCCTACCAAAACTTTACTAATCCTGAGCTCTGGTTTCACTCTGAATACAACCACATGCTGTAAAGTTGTGGGTAACATTTAGGGCTGGGTGATATAGCAAACATATCATATCATTCATT